GGGTGTTGAAGAGCCTATTATCTTACCAGCTTTCAGAAAATTCCTGGATTCTTCGACAGACCTGAACTTGAAAAGCACCGGACATGAGTGGTTTGCAGATTTCTTACGAAGACGCAAAACCTGACATTCTGTCAACGACATATTACAAGCCTTCAGACGTGAAGCTTTAAGTTTGGCAATAGGCTCTCTGTCTGGAATGTTATAGGCCAAGACGTTATGTGAAGACATAATCCTCTTAACAGCTTCTTCAGCCAAATAGTCAATTATGCGCTCGGATTTGATAAGTGATTCAAGACAGATGTTTTGTGATGGGTCACACAATTGCGCGAGGGGCATAATGCTGTCAAACTTGCCCTGTAGGTCTGCCATTGAATTCTGAAGTATCAGTAAATCATTTTTGCTACAAGCCGCATTCTCTGTCAGTTCACCCATGATATCAGATACCATAACTCTGGGTGTGGCTGGTGTCAAAAGTGTAGAATCGTCAACGGAGCTGAGGCCCTCAGATGGTTGACGAGCGTTATATCTCAGTCTCTTAACGGTACTTACGCGTTTGATTGACTTAACCATTACAGAAACAAGAATTTTCACAATTTCCTGAACAAAAGTCTTGAGGATATAAAAAAGATAGCTGTATTATCGAAGTATCAAAACAACTACGATAAACAGATATATTGCAAAATAAAAAGTCAGACTTTCCTTTACAGTGCTCGCTGTGGATAAAATCCTGAGTTCCACGTGGTTAGAGAGGGTATCAGAAGATTCCTGGTTGTAGATTTCACGGGTGAATACTATATGTAATTTCAGGTGATACGATACAATCCTCGTTAAGTATGGATACGTGGATAATGTGAGGAAAACGGCTAATTTCCAAAATAATAAGGAAAGATGATTCACGCAGAAACTGAACACCTGTAGCGCAGCGGTTCAAATTGTATCATCCATTGTTGAGTGGTTATTAATTTCATGGAATTAAGTACCGCTACTAATCGACAGGCTTGCACGCATTGTCATTAACCTTGAACGACTATAGTAGAAGTGTAATGTCTCTAATGGATTCGAACAATAAGAGTTGTCTGCACAGGTGTGGAAATTTTTCCACCCTTGGACACAGACAGTCAGAAAGATATAATCAATAATCTTCAAGCCGATTGTCAGATATCCACTCCAGGCTCTGGAAGAGGGTGTATTTATTCACGCCAGCGAACTCAGCTTGTATTTTTACTTTCCAACATAGGAACTGCAAACGGCCTTCAGAGGTGCCGATGTAAAATGTATTTCAGTTAGTTCTATTGCTATCTGCGGCTGGCTTACGAACACGAGAACCCCACAGACTTGCATAAGTTATATTCTGGATACCATCATTCTGCATTTAGACCTTGATATGGCTTTAGAAATCAATTATTCGGAAAAGGCGTCCTCTTTCTTAAAAAGTGAGCATACTGGCCAACTTTGTGAAGCGCAGCTTTTCTACATACATCAATAGAGTATGTATATGTGTATGAAAATATTAAAATCTGGCATGATTTCCAGTGCCAAGCACAATCTGCAGAAATATCTCAAGCTGCTTTGCACGTTTGGCTATGCATGTATGTGGCCTAGAAGGCTAAATGTGTATACTTTTTAAAGTACTTTGGGTTTCTTCGGTTGCTGGTCTCAGTCAAAAATGCTTATCACATTTGTGTGGCCTTTCATTGTGAAAGAGCAACACCATAGTTACACAACAGGTTGACTTTACTTTTAGTTCCTCCCCCAGCTAAATGTCTACAACTATTGATTGCTAATGATTTCCTATTGTGCTTCTTCTACATCAGTAGGGAGGAAGTGTTTGAAAAAGCTGATAACTAATACAATGCGCCCAGGACGCATAGACCAACAGCTTTCCTATGATGCTTTCACAAAGGAAAGACATTAGGTCTCCGGAATTATCTTATCTTGCCGATTTGTGAGTTTCTCTGAAAGATGGGAGCTAAATTCCTAAAATGTCATCGGATAACGCTGATTATCCTTATAAATGTGATTGGAACTTCAGGGAAGGTAATTTAGATGTTGCGCTTTTCCATAAAGACCCACGAAGTATTAGCTAGACTTAGGGTAATTCGCACTCCTGCATGCATCATGTAACCAGTCAAAATTATCTGACAAAGCCCAGTTTCGCTGCTATTGCTACTTCGCCAGCCAATGAGATTTATGTGAAATTTTGCGTATGTTGGAAGAATGTATTCCGTTGCAGCACATTTCCTGGTGACAAATTTTCGGCACACAAAGTCACCACAACATGAATAGACTGATTCGGCTAAAAGAAAGAATATTTATAACAAGTGGGAGATTAACGTTAGCTGCTACATGGAACCACAGTCGAAATTCTGAAGGTCAGGCTGAGTAGATAACCTCACATAGAACACTAATGCCAACTCACGTACTGGATGGACCTTCTTAAAATGTGGCTGTAGACGTACCTCATTTTACTTTGGTGACATACGCATGGAGGAATTTCTCCTCTAATTTTTAATGATTTATGCATTAGTGCAAATGTGTTAATAAATGTCATCACGTCTGACCCCCATTGTTAAGTCTAGTCTTCACACATCAAAACAAAGACATTGGTTTTGGCATATATCTGTGATATATCTGTAGCATTATACATTGCAAATGAATGTTGTTACCCTAGGGTGTTTCCTTTATTAATGCATTTATTAATGATGCTTGCACTTACCTATTTCATTACAATTTAATGATTCACCTCAGCACTTTAATTTTTCTAAAACAGATTCCAATCCCTTGTAAAAGGCGTACTTACCTCAATATTGGTTGGTTATCGTATGCCTACAACCACGGGATGAAAACGGAACGAAGTCGATTTTCCCGCTCAACCTGGAGGACAACTGTACAATTCAATAACTATACGGCCCAATTCAGAAAATGAGTGTATTATATGTATCGAATATTTGACAGTTGAAATACGATTAACTTGTAGACAATCTACGATTTGATATTACATCATACTTGATCGTGCCTGTAAAAATGGCATGCATTTTCATGTAAATTTGTAAATTTATATGAAATACATTATTATTATTATATGGGAAAAAAGAGACCTCATACTTACTCGATCTGGATCTAAAACCCACGAGTTGACTATCCGTCTCTGGATTGATCACTTGCAACTTTGACGCATTGTAGATTGCCAAAGTAGAAGCCTCGATGGAATGCTCTGTTAGTGCAGAATGAACCTGAGTAAGACGTGAGAGAGGTAAAGGATATGAACTCTTCTAAGAACCTTCAGTACACATATTTAAATAGGAGAATTATCCAACAGGAAAAACTGCACAGACCCATCTATAGAAACGGTACTACCTTTAGTGTACAGCATAACGAAGTCGGACCTTTGTGAGGAGTGTTTCGAATGCAAGTTGTACGCAACTGCTGAAGGAATTGTAGGGGACGAATGTCGTGTTAAAAGAAACCAGTTTGTTAGACTGTTTCTGTAGCGTGATGCGGATGGACAGGAAGCGGCGAAAACTGCGATCGAAATTTTAAGTCAACGACTGCAGAGGTAGAAGTATTCGGTCCTCAGATCTATATTTATTTTACGCTGTTGACGTGAAATAACACTATCAGACGACTTGCTTAATCTTGGGACAATTGCCAACCAATCGGAACAATTTATTCTCCCTTGACCCGGCCGAACTTTAATGTGGCTAAGAACGTATAGATATGATGCATTTTCCCTTAGCGAAGGTTCTCATGTTACACCCATATAATTTCGAGCTGGTTTCTACTTTGCTTCAACTGGGTTTTTGTGTTAAGAGAACACAAAGGTACACATTAACACACCAATGCAGCCGCTGAGCTATGGTTCCTTGAATACCCAATTGTGCAACATATATTTCGATCCTTAAATATAGACAAATTGATTGTTGAAGTTGAAACGACTGAGATTTAATTGATTTGATGAACTTCTCCGATCCCCTACAGAGTCAAGTATAAACAAGGCTTACTAGCTGGGAAACAGCACTCCTGTCTGATGATGAGACCAAGATAAAAACCGTTCACAATCGTGGTTTGTCGGCTTCAGCAGAACTCACCTATGATTACTAAGGAACTGTGCTGACTTTGTTACATGAGATTTAGAGACGACCAGTGTAAAAAAAGCTTAAAGTAGGAATGAAAGGGGCATTCACTCAGTGGAGACCAGTTCCTATCTGGGCCTCTGAAGACGTAACTCCAGAGGAGACTTTGTTCATAGCTAATGTTAATAAGCTATACAGAGCACTTACGTTGTTATATATCATATTGCCAGCAGGCGTTAATTTTTTTAGGATACGCTAACACCTGATACAAACTTATATGCATTAATCGAATTGGAACAACTATGGAGTCTGTAATTCAACTCTAATGAGAATGTAGTAATACACCACTTTCAACTGCTTAACTTCCCTTGTTAAAACAGCTGTCGCTGTTAAGTAGCATAAGGAAGCACTCCAGGTAAGACACAAATTAAGGATGACAACATGTCTCAGGTCCTGTGGTCACTCCTCAGGAATTTGAAATCATTATTTTGCAATATATTTACAATACTGTGCTTAACATATTGAGCAATGCATACAGACTGTCACATCATTGAATGGGTGCTAGGAGTAGCTCCGAGTTTAATAGGAGGTATCTCAGTTAAGAACTTTAAAACTTTTCACACCACAGAAAGGGATTTAGTCTTGTTTGGCACATGTTATATCAAATAATCACTTAGGTGTTGTCGTGAAAACTGCTTTTACTGTTTCTTAGAGTAACCCCGAATAGACTACCGGTACAATTTAGATTTTCGTTAAGGGTGAACAGTGAAAAAACGTTGGAAATAGATTTGATGCTATCTTCTTCTTCCGTAAATATCCTCATGGAGAAATTGCCTACTTATGGAGGTAAGTGCTGTTAGTTTTAGTACAACAAACTTACTTTACTTTTCCCTACTTACCTACACTACTTCAAAAGAACAGATTGTAGTTACCTTGACCAAAGTGAGTGCAAATAATTTTAGTAATAAAACATTACCTAACATTTTTTATCAAGTGTAATTCCACGCCTGGCCTATTTGAAGTTTGAAATTATGAATTTGTTCATCTGAGTCAAATTCACTGACTACGGCGCGTGTTGTCTTTCCACTCGATCTGCGTCTACTCGTGGTTAACAGGTTCTATCCTACGTATCCACGTAATTAATTTCTCGAATACATAACTATGGCCACTTTCGAAGATGATGATTTTGTTACTGGCGAGTCTGGAGCTTCAAAGACAGAGCCAAAACAATGTAGCTCATTGAGAAAAGGTGGATACGTCGTTATAAAGGATCGCCCTTGTAAAATTGTGGAAATGACAACTTCAAAGACTGGAAAGCATGGCTCAGCAAAAGTGCACTTAGTGGCAATTGACATCTTCACTAGCAAGAAGTATGAGGAGATATGCTCGTCATCCCACACTATGAATGTACCGATCATCACACGCAAAGAATACCAATTGATGGATATAAAGGATGGATTCTTGACACTTATGGGTGATGATTTCAGTGTATTTGAAGATATACCTCTTCCTGATAATGAAGTTGGCAAAGATATTCAAGAGAAATGGAATTCGAAGGGAGATTCGGACAATGTGATCGTAAGTTGTTATTTACTTTACATAGTTTCCTGCAGGTTTCTGTTGTTACCGCTATGGATGAGCAACAAGCTCACGCAGTTCGTACTTCCTCAGATAAATAGACAGAACACTTGAATAAATTTTTCACACGACTAAGTAAATTTTTATTACATATTCGAAAGCAAGGTATGTTGATTGTTTCAATATACTTCGGATCATGAACTTGGGTTATAAGTGTTAGTAGGGCTTTGATGTATGGCTGATAACTTCGGCATCATACGTAGCACCCACATGCTCATCCCATGCTTTTCTGCATTTGGTAGTAATCCATATATGCTCCTCAGCATCTAGTGTATTGTTTAATTAGGCAAGGGACCTACCAGCATTGCGAAGAAATCGTCCAGTGTAGTCCGTCACCACTCTGGTCAAAGGATCGTAGAACCCATCTCCTGTGTCGTAGCATCCTGGTGGTATTTGTTTGCGGGGCTCTTTATCCACTAGCTGCGATCTACCTGTTGAATAGAAGTTAGAAATTGTAAGGCATTAATTCGCTGTTACATACTTAGAAATACGGAAAATCAGTGAATTTGCCCCAATGTAATCAGCCTTTTGGAATGTCCTAAACTCTGGTCTACGAGGTTAACATGACATGTTCATGTGGATGTTTCATAGCAGGACGTAAATCTCTACTGTAGCTGTAAAGGGCAGGGAATAAAAACCGAACATTAACCAACACCACCCAGTGCTCTCAAGAGAAAACACCTAAGCTGTGCATCCAGTTTGACGACTTCTCGGAGACATTCGTGATAAGCTGAGAACCGTAAGCTAGGACTCATCACCCCTGGTGGATTCTGTTTTTTCGCTCTAAAGCTATCTTCCGCTCAATATTTCCCTATTAAATTCACCTTCAAACTGTATAGGTCCAGATCCAAGAATAGATGTTCGAGTTTGTCCTATTGCCATCAACGTTGTGTGTGTCAGGATGTAGCACCAGTGTGGTCCACCATATATGTAATTCATCCAAGAGGTCATGACAGAAGTCAATGCGTTGCTTTTAACATACTCGTCATAACTTTGTTTCCATACGTAACAATAAGTGTCGACTGTGCATTGATATCCCTTACTGGTTTATCCACTAGATTGGGGTTGCTTTATCAGATAACTTAGCGTAGGTTTCAGCTGACCTTGTGAAGATATCAAGCAAGCCCACTGTTTTAGAAAGTGTAAATTGATTTGAATAAGAAATGGAAAATAAAGTTACTCAGCAACTGCACTTGTTCTGACTTGTCAAGAAGCCAAAGCTATTGTATCAGATCTAGTTATACCGCTTGTCTACCCAGACCTATGTAGAATGAATGCAATTCGAACTCATAACCCACTGTTTGGGAGTCCAGTTGCACGACAAGTTAGCTACAGTCCCTTAGTTGAATAAGGGTATGTGATTGGTACACTGCTTACTCAGGCTTTCTGTAGTTACTGAGATGATAAGGTATTGTGTTGATTCCTGAAATGACTTTGTTTTCCAATCTTAAAGTGAACCAGTGCTGAAATACTCGACAGTAAGTATCTGCGCTGGTAATTTTTTTCCAAGGTTAGGGAGATGTAGTTGTAGGTAATAGTATTTCCGTATTGTGATAATGGAGTGTGTCGTCATTAACTGAGTCTCAGTTCTATGTTAATAGATTTTGTTCTGACGTAAATATGAGTTACGATAGCCTGTCATTTGATAGAGTTAAGTACAGTTGTGGGTTAGTAGTTTATGCAATTGACTTTTAACCATAGGTCTGCTTTGTCTAACTAGTTTTGGGTAGATGTCATCAGGATTCAAAACATAGGTATAACTCATCGTCGTTGATTGAAATTTCTCAAACTTAGCAGCAGGAGAAGGCGTCCGTACATATATGTTTATTTCAGTGTTTCAAAAAGAAGAAGGATGGCTCAAACAGTAATCTGCATTTTCTGTAGTTTTGTTATTTTATGGATATAAAATTTCTGTGCTACTTTTGCCTTTTGAACCAATTCACTTTAGTTAACTTTATTTTGTAAGGCCATGTTCTATTATATCAATACCTAGACTGACTGGACTGGTTTCAACGTAGAACTTTGCATCGATGTGCAGCAGTTCGAGCTGCCACACTTCACTTAGCACACAAAGCAAGAGAAGAGAGTAAGAAGAAATTCAAGACGGAAATAGTAAACACTACCTAGACTGTGATACATATGTGCTGTCAAATTGGAGTACCGCTATAATGGAATAAATACTAAGTGGTTGTCTGACCCTAATCTGGCGCATGCTCAGCTGTGAGAATCTAGGACTAGTATGCTGTTTAGCAACCACTTAACCAATGAGTCTCTTCATAGATATCGAATGGGTGTAATACAGCTTTATCGTTCTGTTCCTTAGTGATGACAGAGGTGAGGATTTATGTAAGATCAATTAATTCCCTACAAGCTTATCAACTGGAAATAGACAGTTTGTGGTTACTGTTTGATTCTATATCCTCCACCAATGTTCGCTTTGGCTTGACAAAAGTTTGAATATGCCCGTGGGACTTATAAACGTGTATTGTATAAGTTATCTGTTGAATAGGTGGTAGATATTGAATGGATAGTACAGATTTTCGCCAACTATAAAGACAAGGGTTTAGGCTAATTTGAATTCATATTAAGGTCATCCAGTTTAGACTCTTACACTAGTAATTTCGCTAAATACGTTTGATCTTCGTGTTTCATAATTCTACTGTCAACATGATTTTGACAAAACGGTTCAAGGATGGACTTCACCTTCGTTCATTTGTGCAGTTTTCTGAGAATTTTAACAAAGGCTCCCTCTTTGTGAGATAATAGAGAACATGTGTGGCTTATATGAGAGTGGGGTGCCAGTGTGCGTTGCGTTCTGTAGATCAAAAAGTCTAATCGTGAAGCTTTCATTATCATTCTAAGCAATATCCTACTGACTGTCTTGCAATTGAACCGAACTATTAGGATTTCTTCACGAGTTGTCTTGACAACTTCGAATGGGATTATGGTTATTTCACATATCTTTCCAACTCTATTTGCGTTTTATTTTTCTGATGTTTTCTTAACAATGCATCGTATCAAGTCGGTTTTTATCCCGAAAAGTAGTATATTGTAGTATTGAAATGAGAAAGCGTGTATCGTAATGCTTGATTGATAGTTAGTGCTTATATAGTATGTACACTTTACGACCATAATTTATTCTCCTAAATCTCTACAGATTGTAGTCAAGAAAACCTTTTCATTTCCTCCCTGTGTTGAGTGTGCATGTATTGGTACGACATGATGAACTTGTGAATAAGCTGATTCTTATAATTACTTTTATTCTCCAAGAGCCGATTACTCAACAAGTATGTAGGAGAAAGTAGAGATGGATTCATCGGATATACGTTGAAGAAGCCGTCGAATGAAATCGCGCTCAATGCTGACCATCGCTTGAGTGAAATCCCAATGGGAAGTGATGAGTGGGGTGACATGGAGGAGATGAGAGATTATGGGCAATCGTGGAGTTAGCCAGCTAGAGAGGACAGCACCAAATAGGAAAAAAGTGGAGATGTGTTGTTGAAGCCCTATGTTCCACTCGGAATCCAAGGGATAAATAATAATACTTTTTTTCTCATTTAACTCCTTTGTGTTCCAAGTGGAACAAAGGACTTCATGCTTGAGATTTGAGGTTTTCATAGTGGTGGCATTTATCAATTACAAGGACTGAGACTGCTAGTTTGACGCCCGTTCTTCCCTCTTTACTGGGTTTACTACCGGCTTTACAGGATTTAAGAGTGCGTTAGTCGGGAACTGAAAACCTCGACTACGTCTGTGGTTGACGAGTAATTATACCTTTGGAGCACTGATGTACTAATTGGATTACAGTGAAGTATTGCTATTCCATTGGTTTGTTCTGTTTGTACGTCCGGTCTCCCTCTTCACTACTGTTAGGTGCAATGGTTTTTGTCAATGCGATTTGTGTAAGATTCAGGTTCGAGTCGTTGATTTCTGTTTCTTAACATTTAGTCGAGTAATGTGTCAAAGTAGATTGGTCCGAAAATAGTTTACTTCAAAAATTAACATACAATAAAGAATAAGTAAAAATCAAGATGCATTGAATAGGTGAAGTTCTGGTGAGAAGTCGTGCTCAGACGGGTTCACCAAGTCAGGTAAGAGGACATTGGCTGACGGCGAATTGGTAGGAGTTGGAATTCATGGATAGTTTGAGTAGGTCCCAGTGGTTGATGAATGGTCATACGAGCTCGCCTTGTAACGGAAAGGTCATGGTCCGAAACACGAACGTAACAGCTATCCAATACTCTCACTGGTTTTTAAGTGGTTCTCTAACTTCTGTCACCTCATGATCAAACCTGTAACTGCATTACCCTAGTTTTGAGATCTAAAGGTGTAAGATTTGGAGAACTCGTGATTGTTATGTTTCTTAGTTCCGTTGGAATCTTATGACTTAATGTCCATTCATTAATATTTAATCAGTTCAAAATAAGGAATCGAATAGTTTAATCCTATGCGCATGAGGCGTGATTATTGATTAGAAATTCAGTTTTCAGACGCACACGCATAACTATACTTTCGTTCCATTCTTCACTCAACATGGATTGAAAGCAGGTGAATATATATATATTCATTCTTTTTGGTGACCAAATGACCATTAAACTATAAATCAAATGGTATTTTTTTTAAATTAACACAGTGAAACTGTCGAGTTTTTAAATCTCTGGCTAGCTATCAATAATTATTTAACCAATACTTGAATAATTATATAATCATATTTCTACAAATACAATCATAAAGAGTTACAATTAAGGACTCAAGAAATTGAACTAGTCACATGAGAATTGAGGTCATTGATGCGTGCTAATATAACCCAGTAGGCACACTAACTAATGGACTATGTGTGTCGTTTAACGGTCAATAACACTGTCTGGTTATTCAGTTAGTAGGTGAATTGGAAACTAAACCGGTAACTTATTGATTAAATATCAACCACTTATCCGTAACTTTGAAATAATGTAGAAGATTTGTAGCTCAAGTGGATGATTTTGATGGTGGTGATTTAATTACGAAGCTTTCGTTGTCCTACTCCTAGACCACATCACTGCAGCGCAATGAATGATATAATTGTATCTCCGGACAACTTCCTTTTATCGTGATTGGTAATTAATTTACGTCTTTAATGGCCATTTTTATTGACTTAGAATTTAAACTTTTTTTTGTCATGTGACTTATTCTTTGTTAGTTAGTAAATTTGGTCTATAGTAATATGTATGTACCTCAGTGGTGTAACGTCTCTGACTGCAGCACTGGGTGACGCGGGTTCGAATCTCAGAAGGGACATGAGCTGCTTCAGGGTTGCAGATACTCCTTGCTGACTCACTGGTGAGTGCCAACTAGCACTAAACCTAGATGTAGCCAAGGCTTCCTGTGGCCGATTGCCTCCAACTATCTAATATGTATGTTGTTAGTAAGTTCATTTCATACTAAAACATGC